CATTTATCAATTTAAAAAAACGTTTCGGTGTTTTCCACCATCATCAGTTTTAATGTGTAGCGTTGTTGCTACTTTACGCCTTGGCATGTATTTGGAGTTGGAGAGGAGAGACGCTACACATTAAAACTGATGATGGTGGAAAACACCGAAACGTTTTTTTAAATTGATAAATGAACAATAAATGACTGAAGAACCCAGGATTTGATTTTAATTTTGGAATTGAAACACAGTCAGGAAAGTACGTACAACTTTTATCAAATGAATGACTGTAACGCAACTGCAACGGTGAGTTACTGTGCCGGTGCGTTGGGTTGGCGCAACAAGCCATTTCGGCAACACTGTGTCAACTCCTGAAAATTAACTGAGTTACCCATGTCTATTGCGTTTTTTAAGTACTTATTTGGTCTGATTAGGATTTGTATGAACTGATGGGACGGAATAATGGCTCGCGATGATGATACGCTCAGAGATTAGTAGATCTATATCTCCGACTATTCTTAACAGAATAGAAACTAATCTCTGATACGCTATGCTTTCTGTTCGTAAAATATTATATCTTCGTTACGCAACAACCAATGTTGCGCGAGTTAAGGCACCTAACCAGCCTACACAAACACACGTGGCAGTATTTTTTTTTAACTATTCTTTTCAAGACTCGAATCCAAGTCGCAACGGTGTTCAGTTGCTGTTCTGTTTGGGATGTCTGTTCGCGCCTTAATGTTAAACGTACGTACGTAAATCATCGTGGTTTATTTAAATCGAGTTTCGAACACCTCACCTCAGTTTATATTGAAATAGATTTGGCGGTTTAGAAAACTAAGCAGTCTACTAGAATTAAATGAATATTATTAATTAAAACGGTGAATCTTGTTTGGGAAACGCATTCAGTGGCGTTTCATAAATAGTTTCAGATAACCCATGTGCATTACAATTATCTGCCACATGTTTCGATACTGTTTATTGCACTGTCGAGATATATGCGAAAAAAATTATTTTAGTGAAAAGCACTTGAGTAACATAACACATTGCAAATATATGCTTTTTAATTCGAACAATTACCTATACAAGTGCACGCTTATGTAAGTGGTTACCGAATAATTTAAGAGAATCGGATTATTTTCGAAACTTCGATGGCGATATTAACTAAGCTGAGTCGTTTCACAATTGCAACCTCAAATTAATTCCCCAGTTTAGGTGTTACATCTGAGTCGCAATAGTACAACACTATAAGTATAATCCTTTACCCCGGAATTTAATGATTTATATTCAGAGTTAAATTTAACCAGAGCCGCTACATTGTTTGCTTCTTTTTGTTACATTATAAATATTTCTAATTTCATACAAGAATCGATAATTTTTCAATGCTGGTTGAGTGTCATTTTAGTTCGTTTTCCTAATGAAAAAATGACTCGTAACGAACAAATCAAAATCATTATTTGGCATTTACTTGTCCATTATTATGATACACCTTTAACTTAAGTGCGTTTATGAGGTTAAATCATGTTTAGTTCTGTAACAATAGAGAACTAAGCATTAAATAGTATTTAATTTAATTTAGATTACACTCAAAAAGATTATTTTTTTAAATATAAATTTACAATACGAGTGTATTTGGTACAGACGAACTGGGATGCAAGGCGCCACGTAAATCTGAAAACAAGTGGTATTTTATGCTGCCTTGACATTTCGACCCGTTTTTATTTTTCCACAAGGGGTGATTTTCCCAAGTCGTTATTCACATTGGTTCAACTAATTTTACAGTTATTAATCGTAATCAAATCGTGTATCAAACGTTTAAGACTCCTTTAAATGATCAAAAACGTGGGAATGATTGCGAATCTCCAAGTCATTCAATTTGTAAGTAAAATGATACATACGGATACATACATGCTATTGAGTATTACCGTTTTATTTCCAAGATTGCGTACCCTGCAGCTAAGATAGGCTGACTTTCCCACTAGAGCTGTAATATTTCGAGGTGTCATAGCATCAAAGTATGGCTCGAACCGGTTCTGTGATATATGACTGGAACCTAACTGTACTGGGGCTGATTGTTGGGTTTCTGTTTTTTGTTCCAATGAATTCATACTATTTGATGAACCTGCCATGCCTCCTCTAACAACATTTCCTGCAAAAAAAAAGATATTTCAAAAACGTACTGCAATTATCAGCGACAATGCAAAATTTGTAGTGACTAACTCATGATAATATTATACCATTAATGCAGCTTTAAATAAAGCAACAACATTTAAAACATATTGCTATTAATGATCTTCACTGGCTCTAATCACATTGGAGCTAGACTTTTCAATGTAAAATAATCAGCCTGACTCGGTTGCGCTATCAATCTACCGGAACTGACTTTTATTTTTCTTCCATGACAAAAACAGAAGTTTTATTGTTTTCTTTCGCTAATCTATTTGCAATTAGTCTGTGTGCAGCTTTTCGGGATGTGTTGTAAATAGAAGTTAATTGGGACGATTTTTCTTGCCTATCACAGGGAAGTTTGTGATATACTATTATTGTATAGCGTGTCAGTTATTATCTGAAATCAAATTCCAATGACTTGTGTCGTTAAAAAATCAGGCATTTCAGCACCAGTCAAAGAACAAAAATATCTCGTTAAAGTCAGGCTCAGTGATAACGTTCGTGTGTTAAATTAGATTTGAGCAATCTAATGGTTATTTTCAAACGTATTGAAATTAAATTGAATAATGCTATGTATTAAATGTATATAATAATCATATAATTAATTGAAATAAATATATACTTGAAGAGGATCCTGGAAAATTTTTCTTCTACGTCCAAATTATATACAAATGTACCTATACAAATACATGAACTTTTGTTAAGACAGAGGAGCAGATCTGAAATAACAAAATAGATACTGTAACCATTTGTTGAAGAAATTATAGCAAATCAAATAATCTTTTACTTTGTCAGCATAAATAACATGAATTGACTTGACTTCCTTCATTTTTCTCAATATATTCCCACGTTTCATTTTTCATTAGTCACTAATTAAATTGGTTCGTGTGAATGACCAGTTGTTATGGAGCTGTAAGTGTATGTATTCATAGTAAAATATTCATATTTATCCTCTCGATTTGGCCTTTTTCTTTTTCAAGCTCATCTCGGATGAGATCGTTAACAAAAGAGGCCAAGATAACGAATGGGATTCGGCCCTAACATCTTCGTCTCCTTGGATGCTCATTGTGTTAATGCTCATTTGGCGATATAGAATACCGAATTTACTAAATCAATATGATACAGTCTCTAAGAACAGGGCGGTCCTGGAAATTAATGCTACCGTTAATCTGATCTTGATATGGAAATACATATAATAATTATTGTCCTATGAGTGGGACGTATTTTCAGCACAAAATTTCAGTAAATTGTAGTCCCTAGACCCTTGCTTTAAAGTGCCAATAATAAGTTTGACCAATCTTAACTAGTCCTAGTAGAACTCAAAATGCAATGTTACTTATTCTGGCTAAAACTCTTCAGATTCCAAATTTTACTACTGATAATACCAATCGGCCAAAGTAAAATTATATAAAATAAATTTAATTAAATAGGAATATGTCAAGGAGAAGATGAAGAAAATTAGCTAGTAAATCTCCCTTGAACGAAGTTAGAAACTTTGCTGTAGCCTTGCAGATACTATCGAACAGAAAGTAGTTTTGTTTTATCCCATTTTCTGAAATTCCTGTCTTTACTTTAACATTGCGCAGCAGAAATAGGTCAATCGAATTTAGTTTACGGAGCAATCGAAACTTTTATTACACAATTAATATAAGCTGTCATTATTGAAAATTTGCTTTTAATGTTGTGAACCAAGTGAATTAGTTACCAACCTTAAGCTTCATCAATAAACCTTGAAACAAATTATCAAACTAAGTAACTTTAAATGTTTGGGAATTTATTTTCTTACAAATTGCAAACGAAAATCTGAGATATTTTAGGAAGTAATAAATCACAGAGGCTATGAATAAGCCCGTGCGTCCTAAATACAACTAATTAATGCATTTTGTTAATTGACGTGGAAGCAGACACAATAAGAGTGAGGTTTGCCAACGATACATAATATAGAATATGCGTACGAATTTCGTAATTATTTTTCCTCCATTTTAATGAGCGCACAATAATATTCAGCCTAGACAGTCATTGCTCTATACAGGGTAATTTACGTTGACGCAGACGTTTGCGCAGCTAATATTTTAAATTAAAAATCAAGGCACATTTATCGGAATATGCTTTTTTTATTATTTTATTACCGTATTCAACATCGTTAGAACCATTTGAGTATTTTAAAAAAAATTAGTACTTGATAAAAATATAAATCTATATAAAAATGAGCATTATAAACTTAAAATTCACATGTGATATACGTAATTTTACAATGAACATTTCCTAACAGACCAACTGTTATTGCAATACATGTCGATCTAATGGGACTGGGTAGTGCGTATATCACGAACAGCGCTTGATTAGCTTTCAAATGCCATACACACAAATATTGTTAAATTTACTAAAGCTACATTGTAAAATTATTCTTGTACATTTACTACTGACATTGCTCATAATTCACTTGTGGAAAACTAACATTGTAAAATATCTATAGAGCGTTTCATGCCACAATTCGCTTGTGCCAGTTTCCACTGATTTGACCATTATTGCAGATAAATTGCAAACACTTAATAAGAAAGAATTTCATGAATTAATGTATTGCTTTTTATTTATTGTGCAGATTCTGTACAACATTAATTTAGTTATTAAATAAACGCAACATTAAATCGCGACTTTCAGTTAGATGACTTAAGTGTGATGAGATTTTAAATTGATTCTTTCCAAATTAGAATTACGAATTTTTCCTAAGGAAACCTGCAGCTTTTTTAACCTGAACATTAAATTCGTTAAACTTTTTGTACCTCGCTATCCGAAGTAGTGGATGTTTCTGGAGCAGTTTACCCTTTTAATTAAAGCATTCCCTAATTAGTAAATATTATTAATTTGACGTTTTGTACAGGTGCTGTTTGCTTTTAAATTATACTGTTTCCTTTAAAATCATCAAATGATAAATTGAACAAATTACAGAGCTCAGTTTAAGTAATTAGCATGCCTCCATTTAATAAATTGTTTGCTTATGTTTATGCAAAGAGCATACGGGATAAATAAATGTGTAATTTGTTTTTTTTTATTCAAGATTGACTGAACCCTAAAAAATAAGCACAGGTAATTTGTAATGTTAAAAGTAGCAATTCTTGTGCAAGTTGTCTTATCGATCAATCGGTGATATTTTGTAATTGCTTCATAAAATTGTCATAATTGTTAAAGTTCCTGCAAGCGACACTAATCAATCAAAAACAGTTTCAAAAAGTGGAATATTGGATGTTTATCTACATATCAACTCTGATTTTCGTTGCTATAAGCATTTTCGTGAAGCAGATAGGTACATTGATTGATGCATGGCATATTCCATGAAAATGTTGTCGCCCTATTTATGTAGGTAAAACGTTTTAAAATCCTGAAGTTGGTGTCATTACAGATTTTAGCAGCTTAAATTGTGCATTAGACATTAGAGAAAAATTTTGACGACTAAAATAAGAAACCATTTAATTATCAGGATTAATTAATAAAATATATGTAGCATATA